ATGCAACATATGACAAATCGTCGAAGGATGATCACTCCTATATCTTACTTTTTTCGGATTTGAATAAATCCGACGATACATCGGGTATTATAATCTTTTCTTTTGCTATTTGAACTTGAATAATATTTTACATATGACGGAATACATTTTCTATTTTTATATATTTTTAATTATAGTCATATCTTAAACAATTACAGCGACCATCATTATTTTTACACAGAGGATAGTTATGCAAGCAAACGGTAAACAGTTTGCTTAAATTGCCTGTGTCATTCTGAATCATCTTAATTATCAGGAAATGTATTACTGGAATTTTACAGCTACGTTCTCTTTCGTAAAGGAAATTCATGGAACTAATAATGTGCTTAGACCAATGCGCGAATATACCATCGATGACACCGTGATCAATGTTTCAATTAATTAATGTTTTTTGTGTCAAAATTAGCAATATTAGCGGAGAGTGATATTAGGTCCTTGATTAAGTAATAAAGATCTTTGAAACAAAATTCACTGAAAACAGTTTAATTGCTTTAAAACACACGCAATTAAGTTATCAGTTATACGATAGCGTAGCCGCTGTGATTAAATTAATTGCTAGCGTAAATTTTCATCGTTCTAAAGTTCAATATTTACTATGAATGTTTAACAATAATCAGAACAAGGATCCTTGACTTTAACAGATGATAATGATAAATAAGACGCAAACGGTGTGTTGGAGCGAGATAGATATTCACGGCTCAATAACTGAAAGCGAAGACGAAAAAAGAAAAATTAAGAAATTTGTTTCCTCTTAAGAATGATTTCAAGTCTGTAATGTAAAACATCGGCTAACTGCATTGCCATGTACTGACAATGAGAGGTATAAATCAGAAAAGATTTTTTTTACGAACTAGGTAGGGCATGAAAGAAAAAAAAATGGATCGCTCGGTTAACGTGTTTTATATTTCTCATGCTTCGTGTGTCATAGTTTTCTTTATTTGGTCACGACTCATCCGCGATTCTTTTTTATGCGAACTCACGAAACTGATTTTCCGTAAGAGAGAAAAATATCAGGACGTGCAGTTGACACTAGGAACGAATGAGTTTTCTCGTTCGCGCGGCCTAACAGTCAACGACAAAGAAATGGGAAAGCTAAGGCAGGGCAACGATCCCCGTCACCGCCGCCGTCCCTGGAGCCTGCCGCTCTCGAGCTCGGCTCACTTCGTCGTCGGTAGAACTGGTGGAAGTGGTGTGGAGGTGCACAGCTCGACAGCTGATCGCGGTGGTGAGTCGCGGAGTGAGATCGGCGCTCTCCCTGCGTCCAGTCGCAGTGCGCGTCGCGGATCCGTTTGGTGCGTTTGATCCTATCTGATCGGTCGACCGGAGGATCGACCTGCGTGCGTGCAACTCACGTTCGTCCGATCGATCGCCCTTCAACGGCATCCGGAGATTGTCCCGTAACGAATGCAGTGTTACGGACGCGGTGGTGACGGTGCGTCAGTAGTCGGACGACACGAGAGAGTCGATACGCGAGGTGGAGTCTTGGTACCGCTGGCGTATCGCTGACCGAGCGCGAGGATCAGAGTGGTGATTTGTGCAGGTGGTCCCTTCGTACCTGACGTACCTGAGACACTTCCGCTCCCCAGCCCAAGGGGAGCAAGTCACCGAGGTGACAAGTCGAAGATGCGGAGCGTCGTCGTCGTCGTCGTCGTCGTAGTATGATTTCGGACGTTGCGACGGTCCTCCCAGCTGAACCTACTTCTGTCCGAGGGTGAGTTATCCTGTTGGTGTCGATTAACGTGCGCGTGGGACGAACATGTAATTATCTCGGTGGCTCTTCGGCTACTCTGGCAGCTCTGCGTCATGGATACCGCGAATTTGCGTCGCGTTCACTGTTTAACGGATAATCAATTGCAGGATAGAGGGATAAGTGAATTTACTCCCGAGTGCAGTGGTCCTCTCGCTTTATTACCGACTTAATTAATTAATTAGAGCTACGCGAAGAGTTATAAATATATCGCAACGCGCTGCGGAGTCCAGCTCCGCGTAACAACGTTAATGCAATGATCGCGTATAGTAACGCACGCTTTAACGGTCATCGACATATTGCTCTATCGACGAATAGGTGTCTTTTCCCGTTTGGAAATCATCAATCTTTGATCTTCGCGATTGATGTTTCCGTCTCTTATTCTTGGCGATTTGGTGAATAGGGGAGAATTTATGGCTCTCATGATGTATATTAATTATTATATGTATATTAGTTATTTTCGAGATGACTAATATCGAGGCAATAATTTTCATGCAAATTTATAACGTAACACGTAATTTGCAACACACGGAAAAATCTAGTGACACGTGTTATCCCGCAATTTATAATTGCGTTCATCACATGGTTGTGATCTTGCTACATGGTCTTTATAATTCTATTTAAAAAGACATTTAGAGACAGTTTGTTAAAATGAAGTTTACAACGTTGTTGTCATGTCACGTAGGGCGAAACAAGAGATTCCTCTGTCCGGTAACGGCAAACTCAAACGTCTCCAGAACTAGAATCAAGATCGTGATGCGGGTCGCTTAATAAATGCCTTGAGACCAACATCAATAGGACGAACGTATTGCGATAAGCGAATTGCATCGAGCACGTGTGGCGTGTGTACACGACATTGCATTTAACGAGGAGAATTTGCGTACATCAATGCGATCGATCGTATTTCCGTTTGAAGAATGTTATCCGTTGTTAGACAATATTCACACGCTTTGTACTTTTTAGTAGAAATTTGCACGGTTCTTATTATTAAAAAAAAAAAGAATCAAGAGAACGATTCAATAAAGTACGAATATATGCAAATTTAAAAATATATCGAATTATATTACGAATCTCGAAACTATATTACGAAGAATTTTAACTGATTACAGTCAGTCTCTCTTAATTATTTTATTCTATGCATTGAGTATAGCCCGTCAAATGATTATTCGATTAATTTTACGAATAAGAAAGAGATCATAAATTTTGTTCATAATTGTATTATTTTTTAAATAAATCGATAGGATAATTGCGTTTTTTTAATCACATTTAAATGGAAATTTTTTTCGATGCACTGCCAGGATAAACTCATTAGTGCAATTGTCACTGCAATTGATATGAGAAAACGAGTTTTACGTAAGCGTCTCTAGCTCTCTCTCATCCGGAGTCGAAAACTGAATTTTATCTTAGCGTTGCATTCAGAGCTAAACGGGAAATCCCTTTTCCCATACGCTCCGTGGCGGTTCCGGAGGAGAGACCTTATCAGACTTGCAGAATTGATTCTGTTGTGAGCAGAGCGCTTAATTAACATCGCTCGGAACGACCGAGTGGCTATTGCCTCTCAGGCTGATCGGGAACGTTTAGCTGTTCAAACAAAGAAGGTCGCCTGACGGCCGTCCGATTCTGGGACGTTGTCGTCTCGGAATAATAAAACCGAGCGATGTCATCTCGATCGGCGCCTGGCTGCGGGTTGCTGACACAGGAGGCGGTGGGTAATGCCATTGCCGTCGTGTGCAATATGCAATTGCGCGCGTCGTGTATCACAAACACGCGACCGGCGTAATTCCTGACACGTGCACGCCCTGCAAAAACAGAGAGCGCGCCGCGGCGGTAGTTCCCAGCGGTCGGGAACAGCCTCGAACTCGTCTTCGATTTTCGAGATTCTGACGCGGGAGAGACGCGCGGAAGCAACATCAGCGGGATAGCTGTGTACATAAGCGAGAGACAGGCCTTGAATTATAGCATGTACCGTGCATGTACAGTGCCGAGTTAATAACTATCGATACTCGGAATCTGGAGCCTACCTCTCCTCAGTGTTTTGTAACTAACGAGTAAATAATTTTATTATATTTTAATTATTTATTCTTTTGTTTTATCACTTTATTTTCTACATACATATACATGAAAGGTTTCCCTTCTCCTTTTGTTTTTTCTTCGATCGGCAATAATACGCTGTCTATACGCGATACGGATAATCTGTTCTTATCAAGTGGAGCAGAATTCAAGTTCGCAATGTGGAAGTTATCTCTTACCCGGGAAAAAGAATAGCGTCACAGTAGCAATCAACAGTAGGATTGTATCTGTCAATTTTCTGAAGGGAGAGTAAACCCTATTAAGAAACTTCATGTTTATCAAACATTATACTGACGCAAGTACCGATTACACTTTCTCGTGCGTCGCAGGGTTTCTTCGTTCCACATCTATTGCTTACAATTCGAATAAAGTATGTGGGTCGCATTAAGGCTGACACGTTTACCACGCCGTACGTATGTACAGTAGATACATTACAGATATTAAGAAAACCACGATTATTTTCTTAGTGAAACGCGGTATTCTTCTCTCTAGCTGAAAGCGACGATTATCCGAAGTTTGCTCAGTTCGCGCTTGTTCGGTGCACTGGTACCGCAGGAGCGCTCGTGCACTCGAGCTGCATACCTATTTCCCTGTAGATTCATGTGATAATTCATAAAGAATGTTTAATGTGCCGTCCTAATGATATTTATGTTCGTAAATGGTAGGCTATCGCGCATCACGATAACAATGCGATAAGATATTTTTTCTCCGCTCGGTAAAATTTTACAAGTTTTACAGCAGCACAATGGGTAAGCATACACATTTCGATTTTTTTTTTTCGTGTGTTTTGTTACTCACGGAATTGGCATTTGCAAGTAAAATTCAACGTGTACATTATTCTGACAGATGCGCGTATTCACAGAGCGATTAGTACGATACGGTGTAGATAATATTTTACTTTGATTATGTTCATAAAGCAGTGTGTATTAAAATCATTAAATTATATTCTGTTATTTGTATTAAACTTGCAAATACAAATGGATGTTCTAATAGTTTCAGCTAGAAACAATATTGTTGATTAATTATCATAATGTACTCTTCTTTTTTGGAAAATGTAATTTCTATATTGTATTTCTATATTTCTATATAAACTTTAATTTAAATTTATAATATAAATTAATTATTTATTATTTGCTTACTTCTATATATTAAACAAAATGGAGTCACGCGTTTAACATTTCACGTGACGCCAGAAGTTGTCGATTTGAAAGAATAAATGTTTATTTGATTATCTCCAATATTCTATATACAGCGTCTAATAACGTCGAATCGATGAGCTTCCTAGAGACAATTCTCAATCGACTGCGGTTTTAAATTATTAAAGCTTCCCGTTTCGTCTGCTCCTTAAGAAATTTTCGATAATACAGTACTGAAATACACAGTGTAGCAACGATATCGTGCGTCACGGTATGTTCAGCTAACCGTATGACAATAAGACGAACGGAAAACGTCGCTCCTGATGGAGACGGGACACGATTCTTGACCGCAAACGCCCCGACAGTTTCTGAGTCATTATTTTAAGTGTGCAGGATATGATAAAATTCCAAGTATTATTATATATGCTATCTAAGTTCTCGATGAGCTTGTACCTTTGATAACTTACAATTAGACTTATCTGTAAACGCATTTTTCGAATATCGTTATCTTTTCGAGAAAAAAAGGCAAAAATAAAAATTTGTTACTTAGTACGTTGAAAAGTTATTCTAACATGTCAAATATGCTTTTGCTTACAGCACGATTGGATGATGGCTGACCTGAAAAGTCTCACCCTGAGCGGTGGCGGATCATCCAGGTACAGCGGCGATGAGCAGGTGCAGTTTATCCCAGGTGGGAGTCATCAGGTGACGATCAGGTCTCCCCCTCCTTCCTTACATTTGGAAAATCTCAACAATGCGGTCCACGGGTAAGAATAATTTATTATTGTAATAATTATACACTTAATTATTATTTGCACGCTATTCGAAGTCAATAAACTAGACTATTGAAGTAAAGAGCTGAACTGTACGTAGCCGGATACGTCGATTAGATTGGTTAGATGTTAGAAACGAATAAAGAACAGTTCAAAATGCATGGAATTTCTTATGCGAAAATACATGACAGAGGCAAAAATAGAAGAAATGAGAAATATATCGCGCCTGATTACGTCTTTTCTTATATGAGCGCGATAAAACTTTGACACATTATAATGTAGTATCACGCTAATGTAGGTTTATTATGATATTTATTCATACAAGTATTGGTACAACAGAGAATTTGATTGATGAAAGCAAAAATAATGAACGATGCAATCATAACGACTGCGTTACTATGATCAAATTTATTTTACTTGCGATAATAAATGATAGATAATTTTTTTATGGCTATTAAGAGATCATTGAAAAAGATTATTAAATAAATAAGTCGGAGTCGCATTGATAACATATTATAAATAACTGATCATGAAGCTAAGGGAAAATTGACGTGTTATAATAAGATTTTTTATGTTATATTTCTACGCAGTATGGAATAGTACTTAGTATGGCATAGTACTTAGAAAGAAGGTCTCCGGATTACCTCGAACTTTACTAGGCAGCCTTCATTTTCTGGCTTTAAGGAAAGGGAATCTAGTTTCTTTGTTCGTCCTCGAACCGTGAATGTAAATCGTTTGTGATCTATCGTTTAGCATTCTATAACAGTACATATAATATTGATTTACGTTACGATGTTACTTTATGATCCCTTAAAAAATATTGTACACGATAGGGACATCAGAATATCGACCATCCAAAAATATCATCTGTGCGATAATTCTTATAATGTTTAACTAATGTTAAATATAAACAATTTCATAATTACTATAAATTATTTTTTAACATCAAGTTTAATATTTTTTGAAACCTCGATTAATGTTGAATCTGTCGTATGTAATAAACGTTCGAAAGTACGAGTTTGTTAATAATCACGAGACTTGAATGTATAAGATATTTACTTTTTATTGCTTAAATTAATCTTTATTTATAGCACTATTAAATTGCTCCAAGATGCAAATAAGATTCCATAAACTAATAACTTTAATAATTATGTATTAGGATTATTTTCCTCTTTCGATTATATAATTCGTGCGGTATTAGCCTTCGTATCGTAATCTCGAGATCAAGCTATCATAGATTCATTCAAATGTACGTATAAGCCAGAATTTAGTCGTGCGTCATGAAAACTGTGAATGGAGAGGGGAAGAATACAACCCTCGGACTACACGCGAACCTTCCCTTTAAACTAAGGTCTAAAAGGGATCTCAAGGTCCTAGCTTCGATCGTTTCTTTTCTCAAGGCTTATCCTTATAAACCGGCTTTTCGACAATTTAATCTAGCACCACTAAAAATAACGTTCAATTTGTGTGCTAAAATGCAGAGTTCCATTATAAAATGACATAATTTATAACGTCTATATAGGCAACCTGCAACTGCGTGTCATGCAAGTAAATTTGTTATTGTTGAAGCTAATGACACAGTCGGGATGGAAATTCGCTGCGATATAAATAATTTTATTTTCACGTGCAAAAATAATGAGAATTATTCTGCATGACTGATTGCTAACTTAATTATAACTTCGAAACGAGCACCATCAATGATAAAATTATCCTCTCGAAGTCAAACGAAAATTCGTAATATAAAGTTTCTTGAAAGTCAAAAGAGACTGTATCTCAGTTTAATTGATTGTATATATCCAAATCCAAAAAAGAGTCCAAATAGTCTAAAAAGTACACTATTCGTGAACGAATGTTACGATTGCAATGCTTCCCAAAATTGCAAAGATTACATTCGAGCGCGAATCTATATAACAATAACTGTCGGACTCGACTGCTCCAAATAAGACGTTCAAAGCGAATTTTCTGTTCGATGTGAACGGCAGGAGCCGCGTGTAACTTACAATAGTTTTCGCAAGGAACAATGTATGGATTAGTCCAAATATAGTGTAAAGGTTCCAAATAAAAATCACGAATAAAGATCTAGCTAATTGACATTAAGTGCTATTAATGGACTGCTTTGAGATGAACATTTCTTACATTAGGTAGAAAGAACAGAGCAATGATTTCGGGATAATTCTGTATTGATGGGTTATTAGGGATGATATTACTTAGCATGACACTCTATGCTAATTGTTTCATAGTATAGTTATCTAGTCAATAACGGTCAAGGTTTTTGACCTAGCCGGGGGGGAGCTTCGATAAAGCGTTCCCCGAACTTTGGCATTCTCCGAGATCGTGGAATGCGCGAACTCGTATTTGCAAGCACGCGTGTACCTCGAGTTTTATCGGTGATTTCAATTGCAATTTCCTGAATGTGTGTCGTGCGCCGAGGTGTACATGCACAGTGTCGGCTTCCACGACTCTCTGACTCATCGTCGAGTGTGCATCTCCGTAACGCCGGACAAAGACGCCTCTCCTTTGTGCGACTCTCTCTCGATGACTCCTGCGAGTCAGTCGAGCGAATAAAAGATGCATCCCCATGTTACTGCGTGTACGCTTTCATCGTATTTCGTAAGACGTAGGTAACAAACTAGTTCAGAGAAGTATCCCAAAGAAAAAATAAATCCTTAAAAAAAATATATATATATATAAAATATCCTTTTGTAATCTTCTTTATTCTGCTCGATACGAGGAATATGGTTTACGACGCATTTCTTTTTTAAATAGTTGAACGCAATTCAGCGTCATATTGTAGGATGGACACTTTATGCGTGTGTAACAGCGTAATAACACAGCAAAACATAAAGTCGGTACTTGGTATCTTAAATTTTTATAATGCCATTACGTTTTAGTGTCATACATATGAAAAATCGATAGACAACAAGGAGAACTTATAAGACGAAAGTTTGTAGAGGACAAGGTTTTGTAAGACCTGGCTACAAATACAGAAAAAGAAAGAGAGGCGTATAGAATCGGATAAGTTCTGCACGCAATATTTCTATTATACGATATTATCGTCCGCGAAAATACGCGTTCGCGTTGTCTGTTCGACTGATTTACCTGCCATGCGGTCACCCGGGAAAAAAAGTTCCATATATAATTATATATAATTATATGCAAAATATGTCCATATATGTTTCTTTCCTTTGTAAAATTATTCTTTAATACAAAATTGATAATAATAAAAAAGGAAACATAAAAAATGATTAAAAGAATAATTGTTATATTGTTTTTTTT